CAGACTTATAACTGGGGTCAGGGTGGGGAGTAGTTGTTTGACCATGGATGTGACCTTGGAGAGTGGAGTTGAATGAAAGTTTGACCACAGTTAACTCGACCCGTTGAGGAAATGACAGACATTTCTTTCCAGGAGAGTTTTCTGTCTTCTCTGAGACGCCATCTGCTTTCACCCATCAGCAGTTTGGGGACACTGGCTGCTCATTTTCTTGGAGAGTTGGAATATTGTATAAAGACTTCAGAACAAAAGCCCTCAACTTCTGCTCCTTTTTCTATTTAATAGACACACAAAACCACCCTCTAGGATGCTTTTGGGTGGCAATTCAGATTTCTGTTGTAATTCATGGGAGAGAAATTTTGATATTTTCCTCCCCTGTGAATAGTTCTGAAAGAGAAAAACCCAGCAGGATTTTAAGTAACACTCAGTTTATTCTTCTTGGGTTAGAAATGGGTGAAGATTGAAGTCAGAGTCTGTTTTGACAGGCAGCCTTCTCCCAGATCAGATGAGTTGACTGAACTGTTAAATTGTAGATTTCCCACATATCTTTGTGTAAAAACTTAATAATAGAAGAAAGAAAGGATGAGGCATTCAGAGACTGACAGCAGTGTCAACAGCACTTCCATATCCAAACATTGGCTAAGACATAATTACAGCTGTAGGGGTAATCTGGTTCAAAGGATCCTGTTCCAGACATACACCAAAGAGATTTCTAGGTCTTGAATCTTGATTAATTTAACCTTAGGTTCTGAGAGTGAAGTGATTTTCAAAACCCAGAAGTGTTTTGATTATAAAGCAAGGAAGGATGATGTGTGCGTGGCTGGGGTAGGGTGGCAGGACGGGTCGTCCTATCCAGAAGGTGCCTGAAGAAAAAGGCAGGAGACCTGTACTGAGGCCGTTCCTGGGGCTTTGGAGCAGAGAGCAGGGCAGCAGCAGGGCCTCTGACTGCTGTTTCACAGCTCCGAGAGTTGATGGGAGGTGGCGGCTGCCCAGATGCCCTGCTCCCTGTCTGTGGTCTGTGACTTCTTCACCCTGTTAGGTGAAATCAGTGCTTTAAGAAATAGTCTCAGCTCGCCCTGCTGCTTCTCTGTCTGCACCTGAGAGAGCTAACATTTAAATGCTTTTAGTGGGTGCTATGACCTCACCTCGCCATCTCTCCTGGCTGCTTCTGCTGAATTCTGAATCATACTCATACTTCATCCACAGTTGGAAGGGACTTTAGAGGTCATCTCCTCTAACCCCCTCACTTTGCAGATGAGAAAAGCAAGCCCCAGAGCAAAAACTTACTTGAGGTAACATAGCCCTGCACTTGGAAGAGCCAGGATGAGAACCTAGGAGGCCTGACTCTGGGTCTCAGGCTTCTTTCTACTTCATGACTGCAATGGCGTCAGCAGGCTCCGACTTGGGCCTGGCTGCTGCTGCTCCTGAGCCCCTCAAGCTGGAGGAGATTCACTCTCACTTCAGACCCTCTGTGACTTGTGGGCCAGGGGGTGCTGGGCGGTGGGTATTAATCACCTTCCCAGAAATAATCTATGAAGTTAGAGGGACAGCTTATAAACCAACTCAGCAGCTCCATGAGTTTTGAATCTACAGTAACAAGCTTTTTTTTTTTTTTTTCTTTTTTACCATCCCCTCTCCTTTTTAGGGAGTGTTTGATAGAAATTTAATTTATTCTTTTTTTTGTACAAGAATATGGGAATTCTATTAACTATTTATTTGATAGGGGCACCTAGTCTCAACCCACTTGTGTAGTAATTGGTCGTATTCTCCAAAGGGAGAATTCTCAGCTGCTTCCTGCTTCACTGTGTCATGGTGACTCTTAGGTATTAGCTGAACAAATTTAATTAAAGCTGGCATCGTTGTCCCTCTGTGCTGTGTGACTCTGATTAGGTGAAGCCTGTTATTGCTTTACAAAATATAGAATGTTGTCATAACTTATCTCTGTTTATCTTTCCATTGCATGGATTAGAGAAAACAAGGTCCTGTGGTTTCTTCTCCTTGCCTTTCTCCAGTGGTCCTCCCTTCCCAGGTCACTTAGTGTCACTGCGATATGGCTTACTTTGGTGTTCTGAAGAGGAGCCGAGGAACTGCTCATGGTTGGTCCGACACTGTTAGAGGGATGGATGACCAGAGCTCCCACATCCCCGCAGTGCAGGCAACGTCCTGTCTAGCACACCTCATGCCGTGTTCCTGTCCAGGAGCAAGATCAGTAGTGTGGCTGGGTGACAGGCAGTGCTCCAAATTGGGGTTTGTTGGATGGAATCTCAAGGTGCGGAAAGTTTCATTGACCAAACCAGCCTCTTTTATAATCACTGTGGTTACCGGTAGTTAACAGCTTACTGAGCATCCCACCATATGGTTAGTTATATAGAGGATGCAGACATATAAAGTGGCCTTAAAATTTGGGGGATTAAGAAACCGATTTGGAGAAGGTGAAATTAACAAATGCAGTCTAGGTCTGCACTGTTCAGTGTGGTAACCAGTAGCTATGCATGGCTATTTAGCTTAAAATTAATTAAATTAAACTAAATTAAAATTTAAAAATCAGGTACTGGCCACATTTCAGGTGTTCAGTGGTTACTTGTGGCTAATAACTACTAAATTGAACTGTGCAGAAGAACATTTTCATCTTTGTAGAAAGTTCCACTGGACTTTGCTGGTCTAGGAGTTAAATTCTATGGTTGGGAAGAGAGGAACTTGAAATAGAGCAATTTGTGAGGACTGAAGGAGCCAAGGACAGCTCATTACAGGGTCCCTGAGGAATGAGCAGATCTGCAGGAGATGATGGTGACATTGGCCCTGGGTAGATTTGAGGGGAGAGCAGGAGATCAGGCTGATAGGGAGCCAGTGGGGCTGGTGGCTCAGAATTGAACCTAAGCCATTTTTTGTATTAAAAGCAGGTTTTAAAGTGTTTGAAGGGCATAAAGTAAACAGGATGTTGTAAAGAAAGTTATGAATCACTGAGGTTGGGGCTTGTGGTTTTCTGAGGGAGGATTTCAGGGACCCTGTCCCTCTCCTGGGGCCTTGGCCTCTGTCTACTGCAGCAGGGCTCTTGGCATCCACTGAGGCAGGATCAAAGCCAGCTTGGCTCACGGTTCATTTTCACTTGTGAATTCTGGGATTTGCTAGAGCTTGAAAATAATCTCCAGCTAAGATCTGGGATCAGTGGCTTACAGAAGGTGGGGAGTGGAGAATAGCAGCCCCAAGCCTTGGGCCCAGATATTGGTGGGTTTCTGGGAAATGAAAGAGCTCCTTTTCAAGAGGATGGAGGTATTGGTATCTATGATTAAGATGTTTTGACTGCTTGGGATCTGAGAAGTTGGGCCATCATCAGTTGATGGTTTTAATTAAGAAACGGGTGCAGGGGATATAGGGCGAGCCCAGCAGAAGCCAAGCTTCAGGACTGCTGGAGGCAAACTTAATCCCGGGCCAAATACTGGGGTTGG